TTCTTAATATTATTAATAAGCTAAGCTATTATATTATAAATACTATTTATAGGTATTAGCTTACCCTAATAATATATAATTTTATTATCTTTACTTTATAAGATAATAATGTAAAAGCTAGTCTTATAAGTAATCTTATAAGCATAAAGTAATAAGCTAAGTATATAGCTTATTAGGCTATAAGTAGCCTTATATAATTAAGCCTAATAGATAGCTTAAAAGCACTTCTTAAGGTTAATTATAATTACTCTCTTTTAAGTAAGAATAGCTTACTTAATAAGTAATACTTAGCTTATATAAATAAGGCTAGCTAAAACGTAAAAGAATAAGTAAGCGAGCTATAATTAACTTAATTTCTCGTTAATATTAAGTATAATAATAAAGTGCTAGAGTAAGCTATTAAAGAGATTACTAGTAAGGTATTATATTTAAAAGTTAATAAATAATTATAAGAGCTTCTTTATATATAAGAAGACTAGGTATTATAAGACGTAAATTATTTAAATCTTAAATAACCTTATTCGTAAATTAAGTGCTATTAAAATAAGCTTATAGCTCTTTAAAAGTAGCTCTTTATACTTAAGTAAAGTAAAAGCTATACTTCTTAAAGAGAGTAGCTTTATTTAAGAGTAATATATTAAGGTAATAGTATAAAAACTACTACTAATAAGAGAGGTTATAGGTTATACTTTTACGCTTTTATAGTAGCTTAAACGGCTAGCTATAAGCGTTATTTAAGTGTAAGTTAATAAAAAGTTACTAGATTATAATTAATATAATAGTAAGACCCTTAATGTATTAATTAAAGAAGAGCTACTTTATATAACTATTTATTTAATATAACTTCTTTTACTTTAACTTAAGTATATAGCTTAAGTATTAAATCTTTATAAGATCTTAGCTATTAAAATAATTACTTTAACTTATTCGCTTAAGCTAATTTATAGTCTTATAATAAAGAACGTCTTAAACTAGAACTTATAGCTTTTTCTTTTATTTCTTCTTATAATACTACTAGTTTTCCTTTAATTTAACTAGAATTTTAGCGTTATTATACGTTATTATAACCGCTTAATTATTATTATTACTTATAATTATAGGATTAGCTTATATATTAGGCTATTACCCTAGCATTAATTAAGGTAGTAATAACACGTAAAAGTAAAAGATAATATTACCTAGTATAGTAAAGAAGGTTTAAATTTTAATTTAGCTTTAATAAGAGAGGCTAGCTTAAGTAGCCTTTTAGCTATACTTTTAATTATAGTATACTTATATTATTTTACGGCTTATTAAGAGAAAGTTATAGGCTATATACGCCTAATAGGTAAAGCTATTATATATAGGGAGGCTAGGTATTATAAGATATAAATTTTTTAAAATATAATA